TTAGGGTTTAGGGTTTAGGGCCGTATGTGCCCTGAACTGCCAGAACCTTCTTTTTGTAGGTTCCCTACAAGTTCAATGTTGGGTTCATAATAAGAACCTACAGAAAAGTAGGTTCTGGTAGTTTATAGCAAAGACGCCCGACAGTTGGAACCAACATCCTCATGCCCTTAGGCTAAAGTAGAAGGGATCCTAGAAAAAAAAGCCTCCAGAACTCATGTTCCAACTTTCTGGGGTTCGCTGCCCAAGACCCTAAAACCCTATAAGCCCTAAACCCTAAACCCTGAACCCTAAAGCATGAACCCTAAGCCCTGAACCCTAGCCCTAAATTTTGCAGGTGGGTTTCGGGCCTGCTACGGCCCTTGCAGTTCGGCAGCAGGTACTTTCTAAGGGGCGTAGGGCTTCGGGGTTTGGGTTTGGGGATTCGGGTATGGAGTTTCGGGTTTTGGGTGTAGGGTTTGGTTCAGTGTTCAGGGGTTAGAGTTCGGGGTTAAGGGTTTGGGGTAAGGGTTGAGGGTGTAGTGTTGGGCTAGGAGCCGGCGATTTTCAAAGGCGTTTAAAAAAGTATACCAACAGCCTTAAACAAAATCACTTTAGCAAAAATTCAGACGAGAGCCCCCCTTAACAATAAACCTGGGATTCGAAATGGGCGGGTTGCTCCGACCACACCCTACCCTCTTTTCAGGCTTAGGGTTTAGGGTTGGCTCAGGGTTCCTAAGCCCTAAGCCCTAAACCCCTAAACCCTCAACCCGCCAACCCTGCATCCCAATAGCCCAACACTCGAAACCCTTAAACACGTAAAACCCTAGAAGCCCTTTTGAACCCAACGGTTTCGACGAAAGAGACAGCTTCGAACTTGAATGGAAAGCAGTGGAGGGTTGAAGGTTAAGGGTTAAGGGTTATGGGTTATGGGTTTAGGACCCTAAACCCTAAGCCCTAAACCCTAAATAAACCCGAAGCCCTAAACCCTAGACCCTAAACCCGAAACCCTAAGCCCTAAACCCTAAACCCGAAGCCTTGAACCCTAAACCCTAAACCCGAAACCCTAAACCCTAAACCCTAAACCATGAGCCCTAAACCCTAAGCCCTAAACCCTAAACCCTAAGCCCTAAACCCTAAACCATGAGCCCTAAACCTTAAACCCTAAACCCGAAACCCTAAACCCTGACCCTTACACCATGAGCCCTAAACCCTAAACCCTAAGCCCTAAACCCTAAACCCTAACCCTACGCCCGAAAGAGGAGAGTGGCTACGGCTTTCTGCTTGCGCACGACAAATACAAGTCCTTTCATATGGCACAGAGCAGTGGCCGAGTCCGTGCCGACAGAATGCACGACCAGGCAATGGACAGCCGTGCTCTCAAGCGGGCCAGGACAGCGATCCAGGAGCAGGCCCAAACCGTAGAACATCTGTCCTGCCGTCGTCCTCGGTTACAACCGCTCATGGGCGGCCAGTGGAACGCGCTCCGCCCGGTGATTCTCCCGAAGCAGGAACAACGGCGTCTACTGACGCACCGGGCCCGGCCTGAGGATCCGCCGAGGTGGAGTAGAGCAGGTCGGCGGCAGCGCCGAAGAAGGACTTGAAGGACGGCACTGCCGGGGGTCGAGTCTCGTCTTTGCAGGGACTCGCAAGCGATGCGATGGGCTCTCAAAGACTTCGAAACCCGGATCGCCTTGCGTTGCCTAGGGTTTAGTATTTAGGGTTGAGGGTTCAGGACTTAGGGTTTAGGGCTCAGGGTTCAGGGTGCAGAGGTACTGCCTTCTCAGGGGTAAAAGACCACTAGTCAGATGTTGGCGCCTCCATGCGGTGCTTTATTGTGCAGGGACTCAGAAAGGTACTATAATAGGGGCTTAAATAATTACCTATACTATTTGAGGGTTCCTTATGATATTTAGGGTATGCCCCAAAACCCTATTCTAATTACTAAGGTCCTTACACTAGATTCAATAGAAGAGCGTGCCATGTCTTTGTGGTATCTTCAGAACCTCTGGAGGGTAACACACCACAAAGTACAACAGCAAGGAATAGAGCAAAGCAAAAAGCCGGAGCGTCGTAGCAGTGTTGCCAAAAACATTTCTTTGTTTAGGTTTCAAGTCTGATTTCGAGTCGGGGTCGTGAGGGTTTAGAAACACTAAGCTCTAAACCCCAGAATTTGGACAATGTTGAGCATGAGGCTTTTCAGCGTTGGGTTGAGGAATGGTTGATATTTCGCCCCACATGAAAAATATCCCAATCCGGTCCCATAGTAAAAAGAAAACGGAGCGTTGGCCGGATCGAGCTAGATCCCGAACCGAACCGCATTTCTGGGGGTTGGTGTGTTCAGGACGTTCAGTAGAGCTTTAAGCTTCAGGGCTGCAATGAGGACCTTCAGGCTTTCGGCATGCTGCACACCAAGGACATTTTCGAGGGGATGCGTGAGCGAGGGTGGAGTGGGAATGGCGTCGCCATGTGTATCTAGATCTAGATGGCAGCAACGTGCGTTTTCATGTCGGCACGGGAGAACCGCCCGAGCATTTTCGCATGTCATCGCACGTCAAAGCGCAGCATAACGGATGGTATGTTGACACAGGGCTGGTTGCCGAAGGCCCAGGGTGTATGCTTAATATAGGGGCCTAAATCATTACCTACATTATTTTGGGGGTTCCTTATTGTAGTTACAGTATAAAGTGCCCCAAAACCCTGTTCTAACTATTAAGGCCCCTATATCAAGGTCCAGTGTACGGTCTACTGCTCAGCCCTGAATGCTTCACACATCAGACCTAAACGGCAACCCGAAACCCTACATCTTGAACCCTAGACCCTGACCCTAATCTCTACACCCTAAACCCACCCTGAAAACCTGAACCCTAATCTCTACACCCTAAGCCCTAAACCCCATACCCTATACCCCCCAAAAACCCTGAACCCTAATCTCTACACCTTATACCCTAAACCCTATACCTTGGAACCGGGAGACTCCAGGACACTGGCAGTCTTGCTGTGGACCAAGCCCTAAACCTTAAAGTATCAACTCCGGTTTAAGGTTTAGGGGTAGGGGGTTAAGGGTTTAGGGTTTAGGGGTTCAAGGTTTTGGGGTTGAGGGGTTTAGGGGTTTGGGGGTTTGGGGTTTAGGCGTTTAGGGTTTAGGTCGCCTACAGCCCAAGGTTGAGCGTTTTGGGTTGAGTGTGTTCAGGGTTTATGGCTTTGGATGCTTTATTGGCCGCTGAGCCCGGAAGGAGAAAGTCTAAACCCTCTTCCGGATCAGCACCCTCTCTCCTTAAACCCTGAATGCCAGAGCCGGTTTAGGGTTCAGGGTTCAGGGTTTAGGGTTCAGGCCTCTAAGCCCTAAACCCCTAACCCCTAAAGCCTAAAACCCTGAACCCTGAACCCTAAACCCTAAACGTTAAACCCGAAACCCGAAACCCTAAACCCTAAACCCTAACCCACAAACGCTAAACCCTAAACCTAAGCCCCCAACTCTCGCGCCCAAGTGGGCCAAGGCCATCGAAGGTTTGTCATCGAACAAACAGGCCTGCTGTCAGGGTTTCAGAGCATTGGGGGTGTGTTGGGGCGTTGGGTTTCGGGTTTGGGGATTTATGTGAAAGTTTCCGCAAACAGTGGACCATAAAACTAGTACCCTGAATAGTAGGATCCTGAGCATAAGGACTCCCAAATAAGGCGCCCCTTAATTTCGGAACCTCCCATGTCTGCTTGAGACGTATAAATCCTAAGGTTTCGAGTTGTGTTTGGCGCTTCGATTTTCAGGACTGGGGCGCTGGATTTCAAGGGTGTAAAGAGTGCAGCATCAAGGTCTCAAGTTTAGGGTTTAGAGTTTAGGAAGTTTGGGGTTTAGGGTTTAGGAAGTTTTGGGTGTAGGAAGTTTAGGGTTTAGGAAGTTTAGGGTTTAGGGTTTAGGACGTTCAGGGTTTTGGGTCTACGAAGTTTAGGGTTTAGGAAGTTTAGGGTTTAGGGTTTAGGACGTTTAGGGTTTAAGGTTTAGGAGGTTCAGGATTTAGGGTTTAGGGGTAATAATCACGCCGCTATTTACTTACTTAGTCCGCATACGGCTTTAGTATGATTTGCTCAACACCCTAGCCTACCGTTCCAGTCCCGTACATTAGGCCCCTGCGTCTTCGGATTGGGGAATTTCGGCTGGGTGCGAGCCTTGGGTGGAAACTCCACATACCCTGGC